TGTTGTGGATACCTTAATACTGTGAAATTTATTAAGGGCAGCAGTCTACCGGATATACGATCGGATATCCGAATCCGGCTCTTATATTTTTCATGGTATCCGGAATCCGGTTATCCGGCAAAATCTCTATCCGCGTAAATCATTTAATACACAATTCCAGATATCATATAAGGCATATGGACCAAACAGTAAGTGCACTTTAAACTGCAGTAAAAGCAAACGTCATAGAATTCCTATATCCGGCGCCTTATGGAGCGAGCTCGCAAACAATATAAAAAGTGTAAAAATACATATTAGATGTAACCGAAGCACAGCTTAGTATAGAAAAACATCATGTGTAGGCAACAAAGAAAAAACCTAAGAGCCATTATGAAGTCAGCTTTTTATTGTTATTAAACTCGGCTAAAAATAAACACAAGGAAGTTGCGATAAAGCTCTTGGTCATTTAACTTACAAAATTTCAGAAAAAAGACACCAATAAATAAATATTCATAGTAAATAATCGCGATTGAAAATTTGTATGGGCTTACGTATTGGCCAATTCGGACAATTCAATCTCCTTTTATTTACTCTTCTTTTTTTTATAAAAATATAGAGGTGTCGTGGTTAGAAGTGCGCACTACCATTGCGACGGGCCTGGCATCGAGCCCAGTTTCCGACTAACATCAAAAATAAAAGGAAAAATTGTTTCTAGTAGCGGTCGCCCCTCGGCAGGCAATGGCAAACCTCCGAGTGTATTTCTGACCTGAACAACAGCTTCTCATAAAAATACAGTCGTCGTTTTATTGACAGTTATAAATTCGAAAAAGTACACCGATTTCGTTTATTTAGGAACCAGCATTAGCAGAATTGCTTAAGCGGTTACTGTCATAAATGAATTAAATANCAGCTTTTTATTGTTATTAAACTCGGCTAAAAATAAACACAAGGAAGTTGCGATAAAGCTCTTGGTCATTTAACTTACAAAATTTCAGAAAAAAGACACCAATAAATAAATATTCATAGTAAATAATCGCGATTGAAAATTTTTTTAGGGCTTACGTATTGGCCAATTCGGACAAGTCAATCTCCTTTTATTTACTCTTCTTTTTTTTTATAAAAATATAGAGGTGTCGTGGTTAGAAGTGCGCACTACCATTGCGCCATGGGCCTGGCATCGGGCCCAGTTTCCGACTAACATCAAAAATAAAAGAACAAATTGTTTCTAGTAGCTGTCGCCCCTCGGCAGGCAATGGCAACACCAAAAAGAAAAGAATTTGTTTTGTTGCAACAGCATATCGACAGCTGAGTGGAAAATCGACCAATCTCGGCGGCCAGTTCGAAAACATCATATCTCAGAAAACTTTTCGAGAACGCCTTAATTTATAATTTGATTGAAGAACGCCCTATCTCAGAATTCGGTTCAAAAACGCCCTATTTCAAATGAAAATGTATGAAAATGTGCTGATAAGGCGTTTTTGAACCTAATTCTGNGGGCCTGGCATCGAGCCCAGTTTCCGACTAACATCAAAAATAAAAGGAAAAATTGTTTCTAGTAGCGGTCGCCCCTCGGCAGGCAATGGCAAACCTCCGAGTGTATTTCTGACCTGAACAACAGCTTCTCATAAAAATACAGTCGTCGTTTTATTGACAGTTATAAATTCGAAAAAGTACACCGATTTCGTTTATTTAGGAACCAGCATTAGCAGAATTGCTTAAGCGGTTACTGTCATAAATGAATTAAATACTTTGCGTTGACTTTCCTTTAGTTAAAATCTTGCACTTTTTGTCAGATTATATTTCTGGTTGATTTGCAATTGAATAAACATTTTTCTTTGTAAATCTTCGCTATTTATTAAAAAAAAACAAATACGGTTTACTACATCGGCGATGAAAAAAATCAAGAAAGCACGCATTCAGGCAAATGGATGACACACAATTCACAAGGCATTGTTCGAGGCATTGCAAATGCAAAATCAACAGATTTTGAAACAACAGCAAAAAGAAAAGAATTTGTTGCAACAGCATATCGACGACAGCTGAGTGGAAAATCGGCCAATCTCGGCGGCCAGTTCGAAAACATCCTATCTCAGAAAACTTTTCGAGAACGCCTTAATTTATAATTTGATTGAAGAACGCACTATCTCAGAATTCGGTTCAAAAACGCCCTATTTCAAATGAAAATGTATGAAAATGTGCTGATAAGGCGTTTTTGAACCTAATTCTGGGTTAGGGCGTTCTTTAACCAAATTCTGAAATAGGACATTATTGAAAAATTTTCGGAGATAGGGTGTTTTCGAACTGGCTGCCGAGATAGGTCGATCTTCCACTCAGGTGTCGATATGCAACAACAGCAGAATCTTATTGACTGTATTCTTCAAAGTGAACCCCCGCACAATCGGACAATTCGGATCAAACCGTTCTTGCTCAAGATTCAACAGCATTTGAGGTTAAACGCTTGTAAGATTCTTTGGTAAATTTTGAATATGGGCCAGACAACAACCAGAGGTTGACGTTGTTGGGTGAATCGACAAGTTTATCCTCTTTTTCAAAAATGCAATTGGGAACAGTATCAACGTTATGCGGATTTAATTTTACCTATTGCACCACAATATTGTACAGTTAGCTCATTTACTTCAATAGTGTCATAACTTAAAAATCCAACCTCACATTCGCGTTTTTGCATTATCTTGATACGCGGTTTTGTACTTTAAACGACGATATACATATCAATAGTGTCAAAAACAGGTAGGGGTTTTTATAAAGTCGCATTTAACTCCGTTGTTTTTGGTACTAACACTTCAAAAATTGTTATTGAAGGTGTATTTTAATACCTCCTGCCAAAATCTGCGAAAAACGCAGTTTCGAAAGAAGTGTTGGTTAGGGCCTTTGTGAATTAAGGTAACGATATATACATACACTTGTGATCAGCTAATTAAGCCAGCAACATTTTGATCAATTTTCCCTATTTTTCTTTTGTTTATTTAATGTTTATTATTTTTCCATAGAAGTCTAGCTCATTATATAACAAAAACATACATAAAATTGTCGAATTTATTTTGTATGGAAAAAAATTTGTAATGCAGTCAGAAAAAAATTAAGACTTGCACATTATTACCCTAGAATTTAGTGCATACTCAAAAAAAATCTGAATAAAAAGTTGAAAATTTAGCTGAAGCTTTGCAGATTTTTCATAATTTTTGCACAAAGCTTTATTGGATTATAGGTGTTTGTTATATAATGAGCTAGACTTTTATGGAAAAATAATAAATTAAATTTTTATCTTAAATTTTTTGTATACTGAACGTTGCTACTTTTACGGAAGTCTTTTTTTGCAAAAAAAGCTTTAAAACACCATCTGCAATTCTGCGAATATATATATGTATATGCGAATATTTCGTAATAAAGAGAATTTTTTCAAACTTTAATTTTTGGGGAAACGCAATCAAGGTTTGATCAACTCATATATTTCTTCCTGGACTATGATTTCGAATTGCAGATTGTTATTAGTAATTAAATAAATTAATATTACTATTTTTTTTACACGCATATACATCTACGCTTAACGTGTAAAACACAAGCATCGACAATTTCCATTTAAAAACAAGTAATTTTGACTTTATCGTCAACTATTCATAAGCACGCATTTTGTGCTTGTCGCTTACCGCACCGATACAAATTATAAGCGCCGATACGTATGCGTGTAAAAAAGCACCCTACGCCTATTAACTTTTTTTTTTTAGTTTATCAAAATGCAAATTTTACTCTCTTACCTGGCGATGGTACTGAAGCCGCTTTGGCCGATTTCTTTTTTGTGCCAGCTTCCACTTGCTGAATAATGGGCAAGGGATCGATGTCACCGCGATCGAAGTGACACTCAAATGTCAATAAATTCTTTGTGTAGTGCTTGCGTAGAGTATAAGCGGCACTGCTGCTCGCGCCAATGCCCAACAAACCGGCAATATCCTTCCAGGTTTTACTTTTAGTAACCTTTGGTTGGTAATATTTAATAATTTCAAACGGCAAACAAGTTCGAGTTTTTTATAGAACAAAGGAGAAACATATAGTTAATAAAAATTCAAGAGACTTAAACAAAAAAACAATGAAATATAGCAAATGTAAATTTGAATTTAATTAAAAAAGAAACTGCCAACAAACAATGATACATCTGTAGCTCATTGATGCAAACTGCTTTCTTTTTCAATATTTTTTTTTTTTATATCCAATCTTAACTTAAATATAGGGGTACATTTTAGTAAGATAGTTCGAAAAAAGGAAAATTGAAAAATACATACATACATTGAGTATAAAGTAAAACAAAATAAACTGGGAAAGTACTAAGGGGAAATTCGGTGGGAGATTTTAAAGTTGTTAATTTTGCTACTTACACAAAGTGGGAAAGGGAATCAATCGATCGATAGTTACACATTCGTACACCACTAGCGGAAGGAGGATCAATTGGCGGGTGGGTTATATTAAACTACGAGTATGTATTACGGGGAAATTGTGTGGGAGTTTTCAAGCAATATTTTTAATATGAATATGAAAATACAACAAGCAATAAGAGAATAATGTTGTAATGATGATTGTAATAATTGAAAAGTTAACATAAATCTGAAGTAGAGTAATCCACAAATAACAGTATTTGAATAATTTAACTTAAAAATTTGTCTCAAATATTGTTTACTCAATTCGAGATTGGTTAAACCAATATTGACGTCTGTTCAAAGCCATTAAGGGTTTCGAAATGAAAAATGACTCAAAAAAATCGGTAAAAAATACGTATGTTATCACACAAACAAAATTTCGATGGGTATTCATGGAAACACGTAAATGACTCGTACACTTTCATTTGGAAACAAACCGGTTCGGCATTGATAACGAAAAATTACACTGGTTTCGTTATCATAAAGTTTTTTTCGAACAGCGGTCGCCCCTCGGCAGGCAATGGCATTTCTGTGTTGAAAAAGCATCTCATAAAACCATTTGCCGTGCGTAGGGGGNCAAAAAAAAAACAAACTTGTGTTGTAACATCAAGACGCACACCGCATGTTGGAGGAAAAGCTCGGCTAAACTCTTAGCAAAAGTGTAAGCGCAAAATATATCGTCATTTTTATTGACCTATCGGGAATGAGTATTTTCTGAAACTTTTCGGATTCTTCGTGCTTATTTTTTCGGTATTCTTAGGATTGGGTTTTGCTTCCGAAACGGTATATTTTTCGGAAAAATTTTGGGATTTCTCGTTGTCTGAGCACAAATTTTTAATTTGCACCTGTAAATATTTCTTGCTGTGCAATAACAGCGGTTTTTGGTCGATTATTGTTAATAAGTGAACACCAGGGACCGTAACGGTCAGCATCTTTATAATAAATCGGCCATGAAAACGCAGGCTTCATTAAATTTGAAAATTAAATGATTATAAAAATCTTGATATTTAACTCTCGACTTTCATATACAGAAAAAAAAAAACAAAAAATGAGTTCTGGTACATACAGATCGTTTTGGAAATTAAATGTGAACTCCGTGCTTAAAGAACATTGCAAAAAAAAAATAACAATAATAATAATAAATAAAAATGAATGTATGTGAAGTGAAGCATTCTGATCAAAAAATACTCAAAAATTAGTTTGATGCTTAATAGCATGCATTATATTGAAGTATTTATCTAAATATTTTTTTTATATATTGTCAAAGCAAAACTTTTTTGTGCACCTTAAGCCAATGCCCTTTAGGTCACATAAGACAGCAACAAAGTTCTAAAGTCAAATTTTTTAAAAAAACAATGGACAAAAAAGGACATCTTATATTGACTCGTAAAATGTTTCCGAGGAGTTCAGTTGCATTTTTTTTTTTTGTTTTATACAAAAATTGCCTATGCTCTATACAATTCACAATAAAATAGTTTTTGGAGTGGAGGGGCTGGTGACTATAATGATGAAAATGAATGTGGTGATGATGATGGTGATGAAAACTCGCAATGGATTTGGTGAAGGTGGTGATGGTGTTGTTGCTATTCATAACAATGCATAATTGTTTTTTTTTTTTGCTTTTGCTTTTGTTTTTGTTTTTTGATTATTCATCATTTGCTAATTTTATGGGTAGCTAGTAGTAGTAGTGGTGGTAGGTAGTTTTGCTACTTGGTAGTACTAGTAGAAGGTAGTAATGGTAGTGAATCTAAAAAGAAGTTAGTAAAAGGAATTACTACGGCACCTTGCATACCTCGACGAATCCTCCACGTTCTTTTACATAAATATATAACCTATACAAATCGAGCGGTTGCTTCGATATTGTTGGACAGGCGGTGATTGGTGTGCGTCGCTCCTCCATGAATGCGCGCAGCTTATCCAGCCAACTGCGCCTTTCCGGATTATCATCCATTTCGTAAAGTTTACATAGGCTATCTGATTTTTTTGTAGACGATGTACGAAAAGTCTCTTGAGGCGGAACGTGGCTATTGAAAACCTGCTGTAAATTGTAAATGCAAATTCTCAATCACAACTTCCTACTGATAGTAACTAGCAAAGCAGGTAACTTACCGGACTAGCTGGTGTTCGCGTCCAATTTGGTGGAGAACTCATTTCATACTCCTCACCCGGTCCACCAGGGTGCCCGGGGTGTCCGACCGGCGATGTGCTGGGCGGCGCTAGATGGCTTTGGCTGTATGGATCGTTTTTTCGTGATTTTGGAGTTGTGCATTGTGGATCTTCACCCGAAGCTGTAATTGACATTAGTATATAATATTAGATTTCTTTCAACGCTGTAGACAAGTATTCTCTAACAAATCCCTCAAACTACACCCGAATATTAGCTCACCTGCTGATGCATTGGATAGCGTACTTTGTTGGCTAACTTCGTCGATGGGCGTTCCATCCGGTCCGGTCGTCACCACCGAAGTAACTGGATGTGGTCCCGATGCTGTTGAAGAGCCCGACGAACTAATGCCGTTATCCTGGGAGATGTGTTCGCCATCGCCAGGCAATATCACGCCACTGCCAACGGCGCCGCCCACACCAACCATACCACCACCGGGACCAACCACACCTGGCCCACTAATACCACCCATCGTTTGTGGAGGTGTAATGGTAGGTGGTCCCATGCTGGTAGGTCCATGTGGTGGCCCCATGTGGTGTGGCGGTCCCATTGGCATGCCTGGATGCATGCCAGGTCCATTTCCGTAGCCCTGCTGCGGCGCTGGACCGCTACCATAGCCACCCTTATGTTGTAAATGCTGCTTTAGATAGTTGAGGGGGCGTGGTGAGCCGCCTCCGGGTGGTTGTGGCGGTCCGCCCGGTGGTGGTGTGCCTTTGCCCTGTACATGATTGCCCATGCCCGCTGCGCCGCCGCCACCTGGTGCTCCACCGCTACCGGGTCCGCCTTGAGGTGAGGGTGGCACCCAATTCTGATAGGGTGGATATTGAGAGTGCGGACCACCGGCGCCGGTGTGATTCGGCATTGGTCGACCAGGATATTGAGGGCCGCCACCTGGTGGCATACTATTCGCGGATGTTGGTTGATTTGAAGGCGGCGGTGTGGGCGCATAGCCGCTGGGCGTATACTGCGGACGTGGCGGGTAAGTTCCTAAAAAAATATATATATATTAAATTAAAATTAAAAAACTTATAATTTTAAATAAATGTTTATGGTCATACGTATGTATATGTATGCATGTATATGTATGCACGCATGGATAACAAATTTACAACAGACAGGACAGTATAACCTGACTCAACTCGGTTGAAAACGGTTAACATTTAACCGTGCCGAGATTTCGGAGGGAAAATATTTTTAAAGATTCTACGAAAAAATTTATTTTCCGCATATGAAATATAACGATATAAAAAACAAGCCTGCTTATTTTCCATTTTTTTATAATTTTGGGCGGGGGCAGCCAGAAAACTCGAAAAATGGGCTTGATTGTGTATTGTTGGACCACAATAAAGTATATACAGTCAGTCAATAAAGTTTAGGTACAGCGAATTTTTTACAATACGGGCAACTATTTTTTAAATATTTTATTTCTCGATAATTTTTTATAAAAATATGGTCAATTCTACAACAAAAAACAAAAAAATCAGGGATCCGAACCTTGTGCAAAATTAAAGCAAATTCCGCAAAATTTCATTCATATATTGCACTTTTTATTTACGCTCTCTAGAAAGAAGTTGAGTATGCAGTTTTTTAGCCCATTCAATTTTAGTATAACAAAGTGCAGGTTTGTGGTGGCTAGGACTTACCATTGATTTTTAGGAATTTTTTTTGTTGAAGGTGTCGCTCATTTTCTCCATATAAAATAATGTTTGATAATTTTTTTATATGGAAAAAATGTGCGACACCTTCAACAAAAAAATTTCCCAAAAATCAATGGTAAGTCCTAGCTTCCTCATACTTGCACTTTATTACACTAAAATTGAATGGGCTAAAAAACTGCATACTCAAATTTTTTCTAGAGAGCGTAAATAAAAAGAGCAATATTTGAATGAAATTTTGCAGAATTTTCTTTAATTTTGCACAAGGTTTGGAACTTTTCTTTTTGGGGTTTTTGTTGTAGAATTAACCATATTTTTATAAAAAATTAGCGAAAAATAAAATATTTAAAAAATTGTTGCCCGAATTGTAAAAAATTCGCTGTACCTAAACTTTATTGACTGACTGTACATACATCCGCTGGAAAAAATTTCCGTTCAGATTTTTTCACAAGTTTCATATTATTTTTCTTAAAAAAATTTCTAAATTTTCATGAAAGTATAGTTCATTCTATTACATAAACCAAACCAAAAAAACCCCAAATTTTCAGAGAAACTTTAAACTTTTTTGTTGGAATTTTTCGGTATGCAGTTTGTAGTCCATTCCATTTAGTATAATAATGAAGATGCTAAAACTCTTGTTGATTTTTGATAATTTTTTTATTTTACGTTGTCACCAATTTTCTCCCATATAAAGCAAGGCGAATTAATATAAGGTGATATAGCGGGAGCATGACGCCATGAGCAGGAGCACAAAAACAAAAATTTGAATGTATTTTGTTTTTGCTTCGGCGGCATCACAGTATACTGTGGGCGGCATTAACTGTCAAAATCTGTAAGAGGGTGTGTGGAAATGCAAGTAAAATTTTTCAATTTACTACAAGAAGCCGTGAGGTGAAACAAATACACAAATTCAGCTGATCTAGTAAAACCACCTTATATAAATTCGCCTTGGTACAAGCAATGATAAAAGTTTAAAATTTCGCTGAAAATTTGACAAATTTTCCTAAATTTTACATAAACTTTGAAAATTATATTTTTGGCATTTTTTCCAGCAACCTCTTCCATACCAAAAAAAAAAAATCGAAAAAACTTTATATGGAAAAAATGCAAAACACCTTCACCAAAAAAATTCTCAAAGATCAATGCTATTTTTGACTGAGAACTCAGAACAGAAAACATCTGATTAAAACGTTGAAGATTTGCTGAATTTTGAGGAATTTATGTTTTTTGTTGTAGAAGGAACCATATTTTTATAAAAAATTGGCTGAAAAATTTGAGAAAAAAAATACATTTTTGATATATTGTGAAAAATTTTCTGTGCCCCCAATACTTTTTGCCGTCAGTGAATATATTTTTTTTTTATGAAAACGAAAAAATCTCT